GTTACCTTAAAAAATTAAAAATTGAACTTCCTTTTGACCCAGTGATCACGATTCTAGGAATATACCCTAAGAAGCCTGAAACACCAATCAGAAAGAATATATGTACCCCCGTGTTCATAGCAGCACTATTTACAATAGCTAAGATCTTGAAACAGCCCAAGTGTCCATCAGTAGATTAGTGGATAAAAAAGCTGTGGTACATATACACAATGGAGTACTATGCAGCTGTAAGAAGAAAGATCTGTTATCCTTTGAGACGACATGGAGGGACCTGGAGAGTATTATCCTGAATGAAACAAGCCAAGCAGAAAAAGACAAATACCACATGATCTCACTTATCTGTGGAATATAATGAACATAACAGTCTGAGGAATAGGGCAGACCCAGAAACATGGAAGTAGGGTACAAACTGACAACCCTCAGAAGAGGAGGTTGTGGAGGAGGGAAGAGATAAACCACAGAACTTATATGCATGTACGCATAACCAATGGACATGGACAACAAAGCTGGGGACAGGGTGGTGGAGGATGGGGAGGAGGGTGTCAATGGGGTAAGATAAACCACAGAACTTATATGCATGTATGCATAACCAATGGACATGGACAACAAAGCCGAGGACGGGGCGGGGCGGGGAGGGGATGGGGAGGAGGGTGTAAATGGGGTAAAAAAGGAGAAACATCTGTAACAAAAATAAAATAAAAAAATAAAAAAAAAAGAAAGTAGCTGACAGTCTTATGAGAGCCCCCTTGTACAGCATGGGTAATCACAGTACTCAGAACTTCCCACAACCACATAAAACTAGCCTGGCCAGTGTGGCTCAGTGGATTGAGTGGTCGTCCCATCCACTAAGAGGTCCTGGTTTGATTCTCAGTCAGGGCACGTGCCCAGATTTCAGGCTCTAGCTCTAACCCCAGTGGGGGGTGTGTAGGAGGTAGCCAATCAATGTTTCTCTCTGACATCAGTGTTTCTATCTCTCTCTCCTTTCCTCTCTCTCTCCTTTCCTCTCTCTTTCTAAAAAAAATCAATAAAAACTTTTTTTAATTACAATTAAATTATAGAACCATTATCATTCAGACCTGCCTGAAATCTACCTGAACAGAAGTCCTACAACTAAAGACATAAAGAAGAAGCCACATTGAGACTGGTAGAAGGGCTGTCGAGGTCCCCCCTAAGAAGCCTAGGGTCCCAGCCCCACATCAGAACCCCCAGCCCATGGTTACAGTGCCAGAAAGAGATGTCCCCATAATTTCTGGCTGTAAAAGCTAATGGAGAGTCCTGGCCAGTTTGGATCAGCAGTTAGAGGATCAACCCATGGACCTAAGACTCATGGGTTCAAATCCTGATCAAGTACACATACCTCAGTTGCAGGTTTAATCCCCATCCCTGGACCCAATCAGGGTCATGCAGGAGGTAATCAATCAGTGTGTCTCTCTCACATTGATGTTTCTCTCTCTCTTTCTCTCTCTCTCTCTCTCTCTCTCTCTCTCTCTCTCTCTCTCCCTCCCTCCCTCCCTCCCATTCTATTTAAAAATTAATGGAAAAATATCCTCAGGTGAAGATTAAAAAAAAAAAAACAGCAGAGATAGGGACTAAGTGAGACGAAGTTCTTCTGAAGACCCAGGCATTTTTCTTCTTTTTTTAAAAAAATTTAATTAATTTACTTTTGTTACAGATGTTTCTCCTTTTCCCCCCATTGACACCCTCCTCCGATTCCCACCCCCCTCCCCTAGCATTGTTGTCTATGTCCATTGATCATGCTTATATACATAAGTTCTTTGGTTTATCTCTTCCCTCCCCCCAACACCCTCCTCTGAAGTTTGTCAGTCCGAACCCTACTTCTATGTCTCTGGGTCTATTTTGTTCATCACTTTATACTGTTCCACAAATATATCCTTGTATTCCACAAATAAGTGAGATCATGTGATTCTTGTCTTTCTCTGACTGGCTTATTTTGCTTAACATAATATTCTCCAGGTCCCTCCATGTCATCTCAAAGGATAAGAGATCTTTCTTTCTTACAGCTGCATAGTATTCCATTGTGTATATGTACCACAGCTTTTTTTAAAAATTTTATCCTCACCCGAGGACATTTTTGCATTTATCTTCAGATAGAGTGGGATAGAGAGAGAGAAACATCGATGTGAGAAAGACACATCAAGTGGCTGCCATCCACACGACCCCAACCAGGACCAGGGACAAACTGTAACCGAGTTACGTGCCCTTAGCGGTAACCAAACCTGGGTCTCTCTGGTCCGCGGGCCGACACTCTAACTGCTGAGCCAAACTGGCCAGGGCTACCACAGCTTTTTTATCCACTCATCTACTGATGGACACTTGGGCTGTTTCTAGATCTTAGCAATTGTAAATAGTGCTACTATGAACATAGGGGTACATATATTCTTTCTCATTGGTGTTTCTTAAAGGGCCAGTACACCACTCACTCTGAGTTCCAGCAATGGGGTAAGCAGCTCAGAAGGCTCCAGGGACATAACAGGAGGAATTTCATTGTCTGGTTTCAGGGAAGGAGCTGGAGGGGCAGCTTTCTCGCACACAGAAGTGCTAGCAGAGGCTATTGTTCCTTTGCTGAGTCCTCCTCACACAAACCCAGCAGGCCTGTACCATATATGAGTCTCCATTAACCTGGCTAACAATCTGTCCTGTCCTGGTGATTCTCTGAGCTATCCAACTTGTGGGCCTACCCAAGACATTTCCAGTGGATTTTCCATATAAATGGCCTCTCATGGCTCATGCTTTGAACATCATTCACACATTTAAATACCGGTCTCTGAATCATATTTTACAAGTTTCAGGCTTTTGATTAGTGGCACTGAAGATTTTTGAGTGTTTAGAAATGAAGGGGTAATTTTCATTTACCTATGTTTGCTTGTTTGTTCCAGGTAGTCTTTAGTATAATTATCAACCCCAACTGAAATGTCATCTGGTCTGTGATGATTTCCAACAATCTCCCAGGCAGTTAATCAATTTCTTTTTTATAGTCCCATGGTATTTTATTCAAAACTGTATTATATTACAATATTTTTTTTCTCTTTATATATCTCTCCATGTTGAAAAATAAAATCGTATCATATCATAATCAAATTGATATCCTCAGTACCCATATAGACACTAAGAATACCAAGAGGTCTAAAGAGTGATTGTAATGTCTTTCCAGAGTCTCCAAAGGAAGTGACGAGGAAGAAAAGCATTGCTCAATGACCAAAGGTTTGGGAAAACTGTGGTTTTGTTAGTATTTTGAATACTTACATACACGATGAATTGAGTATTTCTACCATTTACTCTTAATGAAACAAGGTGTCTCATATTCTCTGGCCACCTTTGTCTTGAAAAGTTGTTTCTAACACAAAGTTACTCCAAACTTTAAGATTGTATATCTTTGACATCTACATAAAGACTTATTCAATTTGTCATTTTGTATAGCAAAAGTATGTGTCATCACAAAATAAGTATTAGAGGAATGATGGAAATTAATTTGAAAATTTAAGTTAGTTGGTAAGTGAATTCACAGTTTGAATTTCTCAGGTTTTTCCTTCAAAATAACTTACATATAGCCCGGCTGGTGTGGCTCACTGGTTGAGTGTCAACCCATGCACCAAGAGGTCACTGGTTTGATTTCCGGTCAGGGCACATGCCCAGGTTGTGGGTCCAATCCCAAGTGGGAGACATGCAAGCGGCAGCCAATCGTTCTCTCTCATCGATGTTTCTCTCTCTCTCTATCTCTCTCTCCCCCCTCTCTAAAATCAATAAAGGAAAAATATTTAAAAATAAATGAATAACTTACATATAATCTCCTTAAAAATGCAAAGTATACTATAGTGAGAAACGAGTAACTTGTAGTCCTTCCCCACATTAACCATTCAGTCCATGATCTGAGTAAATCATAATCTCCATATGCTCATCTATAAAAGGGGTTAGATGTAATCAGTGATTTTCAAACTGGACTATTTGAAGCTTTGGGGATTCTGTGTATTGCTAGGGAGAGGTTAACAGATGATTAATAATTGTACTATAGCTCTGGCCGGTTTTGCTCAGTGGTTAGTGTGTCAGCCTGCGAACCAGAGTCGTGGGTTCAATTCCAGTCAAGGGCACGTGCCTCAGTTGCAGTTCATCCCTGGCCCTGATCAGGGTCGTGCGGGAGGCAACCAGTCAATGTGTCCTTCTCATGTAGATGTTTCTCTCTCTCTCTCCCTCCCTCCCACTCTATCTAAAGATAAAATAGAAAAATATCCTCAGGTGAGGATTAAAAAAAAAGAATTGCACTATACTACTTGAAAATAGTTCAAAAATCACTGTACTATAAGATATATATACATCCTTTAATATTCTATTTCTTTTTTTCAAAATTTCAACATTTTAATTTTATTTTTCAGTTATAGTTTACCATCAAATATTATTTGCATTAGTCGCAGATGTACTACATAGTGGTTAGACACCATTCTGTTTGTTTATATTGTTAAAGACTTCTAATAAAATTTTTTAAAAGACAGCTAACAGTCTCACATGTTAAATTAGAAAAACAAAGTACCAAATGTAGCCCTGGCCAGGTGGCTCATATGGTTGGAGGATTATCTTGTACACCAAAAGACTGAGGGCTTGATCCCTGGTCAGAGCACATACCTAGGTTGTGGGTTCAATCCCCAGACAGGGCATGTATGGAAGGCAACCAATTGATCAATGTTTCTCCCTCTCTAAAATCAATAAAAACATATCCTCAGATGAGGATTTTTAAAAAATGTATATAGATGTCCCTCTCAAAAGTCACATTTATGCAATGGAAGTCACCCAACTCTAATAATATCTGTTGGGAACAGTTTGCCCATATTGTCATATAACTACAAATGAAACATGACCTTCCAGAGGTCAAAGACTAGGAATTATTTTCCCATTGAGCAAGCCAGTCAATTATTGCACTAATGTAATTTTTAATATTATAAGCATTAAAAAGTCATATTTAAAGAACTGTATTATTATTTTTTAAATACCTGTACTATAAATTGTAACTCTCTTCTTTCTGCTTCCCATTGTTCAGCTTGTAATCTAAACTCCTCCAGCGCTGTCTCCCTGATATGAGACTCCATTTCATTCTTCTCCTGCTGATGTTTCTCCAACGCTTCCTTTATACAAATAAAATCTCGCTTTACTATTAGATCAATAAAGGTTAGCTTTCTTCTTTCATCCACAATTTAAATGTACAAAGGATTCCCCTTATCTACCCTGTTAAAAGTCATTTATAATGTATCTTAAAATCATTAATAGAACTATTATATTTTGATCATCAGAACACAGATCAGAATAAGAAGCTATGCTTACTTATTTAAGGAACATTATACACACACACACACACACACACACACACATAGTCATATATTTAAACCAATTTTTTCTGAAAATTTTAACTGCAGAGGTTTTAACAAAATGCATTATATGATAAAGAAACAAAAACAAAATACATAGATTATATGTAATCTATAAGTAAATCTATGTGTAAAGTAGATAATACAAAAATCTCTAATTACCTATGAACAAAATGTTTAGATTATCCCTGATAATGTTTATACAAATCTGACAGAAAATACTTATTTCCAAATAAGGAAAAGGAAGAAGTTTTGTGCATCAAATCAGGATGAGGAAATTCTAGGGTGTCAAAAATTTGAAAAGTCAAAAAATATTTTTTTTGAAGTTTGAACTGTCACTACTTTCTAGTTTTACAGATAAACAATATGGCAAGAGGCTTTTTCTTTTTGGTGTTTTCCTAGCTGTATCACATTTGCAAGATCTAAGTAGGTTCAAAATCTTAAAAATATAAAATGCAGTTTTCTTGGGAAGCCAAATTTCCTAATATACAGGGTTCAAAACGCAGTCCCCATTAACACAAGGAGAAAGATACTGCGGTTTATGAAAGAAGGAAAGCCTCCTGTGTCCATCTATCAGTAGTTGGTGCTACATAATAAAGACTGCCCTTACAATTTTCACTAATGGAAAGCCATCACAAGATCCTTGGAGTCTTTTCCTCTTAGGGCTAAATAGTGACTCTTACCAATCCCAAGGGCCTCTGTGCGGATCAGTTCAAAGCCAAAGGCGTACAATCAAAGTAGAGTTCTCCTACCAAGTAGCGGATCAAGATCACGACAAGATCGTGTAACTTGGGGACTTCCGGTCAAGATGGCGGCGTAGGTAAACGCAGTATCGTGTCCTCCCACAACCACATCAAAGTTACAACTAAACTATAGAACAACCATCATTTAAAACCGCCTGAAATCAAGCTGAATGGAAGTCCTACAACTACGGAATTAAAGCAGCAGCCACATCGACACTGGTAGGAGGGGTGGAGGCGGACGGGCTGGTCCCACACCCATGTGTGGCGGATAAAAATCAGGAGGACACCTCGGCTGGGAAGGTCCTTCCTGAGGACTGAGGGGTCCCCGTCCCACACCAGGTGCCCCGCTCAGGGTTCCAGTGCCAGGAAGAGAAGTCCCCATAACTTCTGGCTCAGAAAACCAGCGGGAACTGAGGCTCAGGGAAGCTGACGTGGCTAGAGCCCCAGGCAGCTCCTTAAAGGGCCCGCACATGGACTTATCGGACTCTCTCCCTCTAAGCTTGGAGGGGAGGCAGCTCGAGGGGCACCAGAGACATACAGGGAAGAACTGAGCAGTTTGGCACTGGAGCGAGTGCTAGAGAAGGGGCTTTCTCCAAGACAAACATGCTGTCAGAGGCCTTCGTTCCTTTGGTGAGCCCTTCCCTGGGGTAGCAGACAGTCACCATACCTGGGACTCCAGCAACCTGGCTCACACTGGTAGCCCCGCCCTGGTGACTCTCTGAGGCCCTGCCCCACCCAACTTTCAGGCCCACCCAAGCTGTTGCCACTTGCTTAACCTTAGGATTGGCCTGTCTTGGATCCTGCTTCAGGTTTTTCCTAAATTCTTTCAAACAAGCAACATCTGGTCTCAGCTTGCCCCATACCTCTCGTTAAGTAATACACAGAAACAAACACAAGGAGGCAGCCAAAATGAGGAGACAAAGAAACAGGTCCCAAATCAAAGAACAGAACAAAAATCCAAGAAAAGAACTAAGCAAAATGGAGATAAGCAACCTAACAGATGCTGAGTTCAAAACACTGCTTAGAAGGATGCTCAATGAACTTAGTGAGAATCTCAGGGAACTTAGTGAGGGCCTCAAGAGCATAAAAAAGGACCAGTCAGAAATGATGGATGCACAGTCAGAAATGAAGGAGGCATTAACTGAAATAAAAAATAATTTACACAGATTCAATAGTAGAGTACATAAATCCAAGAAGCAAACCATCGATTTGGAATATAAGAAAGCAAAAAACGCCCAATCAGAAAAACAAAAAGAGAAAAGAATCCAAAAAAATGAGGATAGTGTAAGGGGCCTCTGGGACAACTTCAAGCGTGCCAACATTCGCATCTCAGGGGTGCCAGAAGGAGAAGAGAGAGAACAAGAAATTGAAAACCTGTTTGAAACAATAATGGCAGAAGACTTCCCTAACTTGGTGAAGGAAACAGACATACACGTCCAGGAAGCACAGAGTCCCAAACAAGATGAACCGCAAGAGGCCCACACCAAGACACTTCATCATCAAAATGCAAAAGGTTCAAGACAAAGAGAGAATCTTAAAAGCAGCAAGAGAAAGGCAGCTAGTTACCTATAAGAGAGTTCCCATAAGGCTGTCAGCTGATTTCTCAAAAGAAACTTTGCAGGCCAGAAGGGAGTGGCAAGAAATATTCAGAGTGATGGAAAGCAAGGACCTACAACCAAGATTACTCTATCCTGCAAAGCTGTCATTTGGAATCAATGGCCATATAAAGAGTTTCCCAGACAAAAAAAAGTTAAAGGAGTTCATCACCACCAAACCGTTACTATATGAAATGATGAAGGGTCTTTTTGAAGAAAAAGATAAAATATATGAACAAACAAAATGGCAATGAATACATATCTATCGACAATTGAATCTACAAACAAAATGGACAGGTAGAACAGAAACATTCTCATAGATACAGAGAGCATTTTGTTGGTTGCCAGATGGGAGGGGGGTTGGGGGAATGGGTGAAAAAGGTGAGAGGATTAAGAAGTACAAATTCATTGCTAGACTGACAAACCTCAAAGGGAAAGGGGTTGGGGGGTGGGAAGAAATAAACCAAAGAACTTATATGCATAACCAATGGACACAGACAATAGTGTGGGAAAAGGTGGGAGGGGTTGGGAGTGGGGAGGAGGCGGTCAATGGGGGAAAAATGAGGAACATCTGTAATACATTCTACATTCAACAATAAAGATTTAAAGAAAATAAAAAAAGATCATGTAACTTGAGGCGCAGGCTGATTTGACTGTAAGGGATGCTGCCCCACTCCCCCACACACACCTGTTACCCTTCTTTCCCCATAGCTCCAAGACATTTTACATGGGGAAGGTTACACGGGGCCACCAGGGACTTGTAGAATCAGTAGCCACCTAAACTTCCCCTATTCAAATACCAATGGAGCCCTTATAGATGCCAGGCACCATTGTAGTAATAAATAAGACAAACTATGACTTGATGTAGAAGAAAACAATAGTAGATCTACTGACAATGTCTGGGAATGCTTGTGGCAGAACTTTCATATTTGGTAAAATGCCTTTGTAAAATTATTTTAAGTGAAGATTCATTTCCAGAATTCTGAATAGCCATTTCAGAATGGTAAATGTGAGCATTTTTATCATGTTTTTCTTTTTTTAATTTAAACTGGCACTTCAAAAATATGGCAAATACAGACAATTCAAAATCTACTTTCTAAGTGGCTGGCAATCTCAACATTAAACCATACTTTGGGGAGTAAAAAGGGAAATAAAAGGGGAGGGGAGATAAATACCTCACAATAATTTTAATAAAAGGCCATCAAATTATTTTGATATATCTATATAGAATGAGCTCTATATAGATAATAAAGCATATGTCAGATGCATAAATGTTTTTCTATATGTATTGTATATTCAGACCAACTCTAGGGCCCACACTTCTAAATTTCCAAATTTTCATGCTATTGAACCAAAAGGGCTATAAGTTCTAATATTCTTACAAAATGTCCATGTGTTTATTTTTTTAATTTTGATCAGAGATTTCAAACTCTTTTTCACACACACACACAAAAAAAACAGTATACATATTAATGTATTCTAAAGCATATTACAAAAGAGACCTGCAAAAATGACCCTACCAAGGAAATAAGAGAGAGAGGGAGGGGAGGAAGAAGGAAATCAGATTTTCTTGCTTTCTGGTAATTTTTCTTTCCAAGGACAACTTCAGTTAATGTATAACACATCACAATGAATATTATATATATCAAAATTCCTTTATAAAAATATTTTACCTGTAGAGTTTTCTCTAGTTTGCTTTTTTCTTTCATAAGTAAATCATATTCTTGATTGCAATTTTGAATTATATTGTCTCTTTCCTCCAAATCATGTTCAAATCTTCTGCATTCTTCTTCCCATTTCTGCTGGGAAGTCTGAAGTGTATTCTCAATCTCATTTGCCCTTCCTTGAAGTTCTGTATTCTGAGCTATAAAAATATAAAAAAAATAATAGGCATATTTACAACCATAAATTAAATCCCAGAGTTCAAAAACCTAGGCCCTGGAGCTGATTTCATTTACTGCATGATCTTAGGACAAAACCTGTAACCACTTCACATGCATAAACTCTTGAAAAGCTCCCTGTCCCAGAACCAGGATTCTACCATTTTCTGATCTCTTCTCCCCCTCCAGAAAAAAAGTGATTTTGCTATGAAATGATATCACATATTCCCAGAGACATGCCCATATTTAGATGCACCTTTATTACCAACTGCCACTCTTTTTCTCCTATCCAAGAAAATAAATCAAATGTTTTTTGTAAAAGACTGTGACATATAGGGCTACTCTTTTTAAAAGACTCAATAGATTACAAATTTTGACATTTGACTACTGGCAACTAATTAGTTGTAACACATTTTACACATGACACTGTCAGAAAATTGAAGTTGGAAACCACTGCTATCACCCTTATAACTTATGGTATATACTCCCCCAAAATTAGGCTCAATCCACTCTCATCCTAATATTATCTCCACAATAACCATCACCTTTCCACCAGGGTTGCTGCTATGTTTCAGCATCTAGAAAAGAAGTAATGAAAGGCTTCCAGGTCTGGCTCCATCACCTACCATCTGATTAACCCTCCTTGACTCTCAGAATAAAATGCCTCCTAGTTAAATTTTTGTGAAGATCAATGAGAAAATATGTACAAACACACTTGCTAAACAACAACAACAAAAATGCCACATTTAGTAGTATTGTTTTTAAATTATATTTGGGGGGGGGGTATTTTTTTTTTTCCTTTATTGATTTTAGAAAAAGAGAAAGTGAGAGGGGGAGAGAGATAGAAACATCGATGAAAGAGAACATCGATTGGCCACCTCCGGCATACCCCCCACTGGGGATTGGGCCCACAACTTGGGCATTTGTCTTGGCTGGGAATTGAACCGGGGACCTATTGGTGCATGGGTCAACACTCAACCACCAAGCCACACCAGCCAGACTATATTTGTGTTTTAAATGGCTCATATGTCCCAAAGGTTCAAAATTCAAAGGTAGAAATGGTACACAAAGTCTCCTTCCCACCCAGTTACTCTCACTATAAAACATTATTCCATGGTCCTATATTGTAGATAAGAAGATTAAGGCCACTTTGATTTCTGTCCCTCTGTATGTGGTCTATTTTTTTTTTCTTTTCTTTTCTTTCCTTTTCTCTTTAAATGTTTGAGCTCCCTGTCTCCTTTCCTAAAATTTCACGATGCTACACCTTCAAGTGGGTCTATTTATTTCCCTGTGGTGAATATTCAATGGGCTCTTTCAATCTGGCAACTCATACATAACCTTTAGTTCTGAGATGTTTTCTTAAGTAATTTCATTGATGAGTTATCCCTCTCTATTTTTTTCCTCATCTTTTTCTTTCAATATTCCCTATTATTCAGAATGGTCCTCAAATTTTCTTTTGTTTTCTCACCTGTTTTTCTATCTCTGTCTTTTTACACTAATTTCTAGATTTTTAAAAATAAGTTTTTATTGATTTTAGAGGAAGAGGAAGGAAGAGAGTTTAGAAAAACATTGATCAGTTTCTTCCCACATGCACTCTGACTGGGGACTGAACCCACAGCCTGGGCCTGTGCCCTGACCAGGAATCAAAACTGCAACCTTTCTTTTTTTTTTTTTTTTTTTTTTGTTCAGATAGAGTGGGAGGGAAAGAGAGGGAGAGAAAGAGAGAGAAACATCGACGTGAAAGGGACACATCGAGTGGCTGCCACCCGCACAACCCAACCAGGGCCGGGGACAAACTGCAACCGAGGTACATGCCCTTAGCGGGAACTGAACCCAGGTCTCTCCGGACCTCAGGCCAATGCTCTAACCGCTGAGCCAAACTGGCCAGGGCTAAAACTGCAACCTTTCTGTGCATGGGACAACACCCAACTGAGTCACACTGGCCAGGGCTTTCTGGGAGATTTCTTCCATCTTCATCTTCCAATGATTCTATTGACATTTATCATTTCTGATTTCCCATTTTTAATTTCTAAAAGGTTTCTTTTTTATGGGATATGGTTCTTGCCTCACAGATGGCATATATTCTCTTTCAGCTCTGAGGATATTAATGCTGTTTGTTTGGTAAATCTCCCCCCTGAAGAGTTTCTGATTCTTTCAAGTTAACTTTTCTCTCTCCATTTTAGAGGCTTTCCCTAAGAATGTAGTAATTCTTGGTTATTTGCTCTCAATTAGGATTAACTTCAAGGTGACACATCTTTTAACACTCCATATACCCACAACCTAGATTCTGAGCTTGAGTGTGGAGCTTGGCACCTGTAATCTTTGTAGGAGGAGAATATGGCTGGGCCATTTATCAGTGTCATTAGGTTTTTTCTTGTTGGCTCAATCAGGTGACACATAGAAGAGTCTTCCAAGCTCCCACACGGAGTGCAGAAATCTGGTGAGAACTTTTGGGGAAGCCGTTAGAAAAAGGAAGATGGAAAAAACAGGTCCTCAATATTCAGCAATAAGTATGAAATCTTACTGTTTTACCCAATCTAGAGACCCTCTGTTTTAGTGGGAACAGTCCAGAATAGCATGTTTGTGGAAAGGGGAGCTAAGAATAAAAAGCTACTTCCAATTCCTAATTCCAAAGGTATCTGGTGCTTCCAGTTTATAAGTCTTTTGATTCTCCAACAAGTTGTCTGACATCTTCCTCCCATCCTAGCTTAGGATTCTAACCTCTCAGGTCTGCTAAATCAGTTCTGCCGCACTCATGTGCTTTCCAGCTTCCAAAATTTTCTTTCTTCTCATGTCTCTTATTCTCTCAATCATTATGGGATTATCTTTCTAAATATTCCATAACTGCATTAGTTTGTTTTTTCCTCTACCCTCAACATTTTATCATAAAATATTTCAAAAATACATAAACTTGAAAGTATTATATAGTGAACAGCCATAAAACCACCTAGACTCCATGATTGTTAACATTTTGCTATATTTGTTTTATCACACATTCATCTATGCATCCATTCATTTATCCATCCATCAGACCATCACACTTTTTTATGTATTGCAAAGCAAGTTGCAAATATATTTCACACCTAAATAATTTAGCATTCATATTAACTAGAATTCAATATTGTTTCAGTTTTTTTTTTTTTAAGGTAAAATTTACATATAGTGAGTGCTCACTTTGGCAGCACATACACTAACATTGGAACGATACAGAGAAGATTAGCATAGCCCCTGCACAAGGATGACATGCAAATTCGTAAGCATTCCATAAAAATAAAAAAAAAAATCTTACATATAGTGAAATGAACAATGCTTAAGTATACCATTCAAAGAAATTTGATAAATGCCTACACTCATGGAACCCAGCCCCCTATCAAACTACAGAACGTTTCCTTTAACCAAAAAGGTTTCCTCCTATCTTTTCCCAGTCAATTCTTACTGCTAACCCATCCCAGAGGCAACGACTGTTCTGATTTCTTTTTCACCAACAATTAGTTTTCTCTATCCCAGAACTTAATATAAATGGAGTAATATAGGATGTCTTCTCATGTATAAATTTCACTCAGCATAATAATTTTTTTTAAATCCTCACCTGCAAATATTTTTCCATTTATCTTCAGTCAGAGTGAAAAGGAGGGAGAGAGAGAGAGACATCAATGTGAGAGACACATCAAGCGGATGCCTCCCACAGACCCCAACCAGGGCAGGGGACCAAACCGCAACCAAACTCGAGACCCTTTGCTCCACAGGCAGACGCTCTAACTGCTGAGCCCAACTGGTCAGGGCAGAATAATGGTTTTGTTGTTTTTTTTCAATCCTCACCCGAGAACAGTCTCTCATTTTTTGTTCAGATAGAGTGAGAGGGAGAGAGAGGAAGAGACAGAGAGAAAGAAACATCAATGTGAAAGGGACACATCTAGTGGCTGCCACCCATACGACCAACCAGGGCCGGGGACAAACTGCAACCGAGGTACGCATCCCCAGCGGGAACCGAACCCAGGTCTCTCTGGACCGCAGGCAGAGGCTCTAACCACTGAGGCAAACCGGCCAGGGCCAGCATAATGGTTTTTAAATTCACTCATGTTATTGCATGTATAAGTAGTTGGTAGCTTTTTATTGATGAGTAGTATTTCATTGTATGACTATAAGACAAATTATTTCTTCATTCTCTTGTCAATGAACATTTAGGGTTTATTTGTTTTTTTCAATTTGTGGCTGTCATAAAAGAGCTACTATGAAAGCTGATATACAAGTCCAATGTTTCTCAGGGAGAAATACCAAACACTGAAACTGCTGGGTCAAAGGATAAAGATATGTTTATTTTTAAATTGTCAGTTTTTTTCCCAAGTAATTGTACCATTTTACTCTCCCACCAAGTATGAGTTCCAGTAGCTCTACATCCTCACTAGCATTTGGTACTGATAGTTTTTTCAATTAGAGCCATCTGATGGGTATGTAGTTATAGTCACAGTGGTTTCTAATTTGCATTTCCCTAATGACAAGTAAGGTTAAGCATTTTTCATGTAATTAGTGGCCATTCCTCCATCTCCTCTGTAACTTGTCTGTTGAAATTATTTGACTTTGGGCAAGTAACTTCCCATCTTTCATGGACTTCAGTATCCTCATAATTATATTAAAGCCATTAACCTGTATATCTGGTAGTGCCTTACAATCCTTTTATTCCTAAGTGATATAGTTATTAAATGCCAGAAGTAATCAAAAACACTTCTGACCAATGGCAATAACCCAAGACAGCTGGCCAAGACTAGGGTACGTAACTTTTGCAATTTTTATAACTTAACGTTTGTTTAGCCCCATGCAGTTAACAAAGCACTTACATTTTCTTATTTCATCCTTAAAACAACCTAGGTTCAAATATCAGTAAATAAATGGTACAACCAGACTCAAATCTAAATCTTCTGAATTCATGTTCAGTGTTCTCTTAATTATTACCTGCTGTGTACAAAAATAATCATAGCAACGTGTTTTTTTTTTAATATTTTTATTGATTTTGGGAGAGAGAAGAGGGAGAGAGGGAGAGAGAGAAACATCAACATGAGAGTGGAGCATAGATCAGCTGCCTCCTGCACGTCCCCTACCAGGCATCCAGCTCACAACCTGGGCATGTGCCCTGACAGGGAACAAAACCAGCAACCTTTCAGAGCATAGAACACCACCCAACCAACTGACCACACCAGCCAGAGTAGCAACATTATTCTTAATCACCTACACTCAGAAACAACCCAAATGCCCATCAATAGTGAATGGTAGTAAGTGTGGTATATTCACACAGTATAACACTGAACATCAATATGAAGTTCATACAGCATTGTAGATAAACTCACAAACCTACAACATTAAAGGAAAGAATCCAGATACAAAAGAGTATATACTATGTGAGTCCACTCACATAAAAGTACCAAAAAAAGGGCAAAATTAATCCTTGCTATTAAAAATCAGGATAGTAGTTATCCATGTGGAAGGACTTGTGATACTTTTATATTTCATGATCAGGGTTCTTGTAATCAGTTTATACTTATCTAGGTACATTTCTTTAATATACTTAAATTTTTTAAAAATTGTTTCTCTTATTGATTTTAGAGAGAGAGAGAGGAAGGAAGAGGGAGAGAGAGAAACATCGATGAGAGAGAACATCAACCGGCCACCTCCTACATGCCCCCAACTTGGGATGTGGCCCACAACCTGGGCATGTGCCCTGACTGGGAATCGAACCAGTGACCTCTTGGTGCATGGGTTGACTCTTAACCACTGAGCCTCACTGGCTGGGCTTAAGTAAAAAGATTTTAAAAGATGGTCATTTTAAAAAATGGTCATATGCTATATTAACAGATAACTTTTTAGAGTTAAATCACTTGCCTTTTTCTTTTCCAGGCACCACACTCTAATCTAGTGGTTCCTAAACCTAGCTAATCAACAAAATCACCTGCAGTGCTACTTGCACCTACAGATTCTCCCAAGCTAGCCAATCTGATTCAAGACTATATATGATAGAAGGCCTACAATACTTTTTTTTTTTAAATCTCTATGTGGGCCCAGCCAGTTGGCTCAGTTGGTTGGAGCATTGTCCCATACACCACAAAGACTGTAGGTCTGATTCCTGGTCAGGACACATACCTAGGTTGCGGGTTCAATCCCCAATTGGGGCATATACAGATGGCAACCGATCTATGTTTCTCTCTCACACTGTTGTTTAGCTCCCCAACCCCTTCCACTCTCTCTAAAAATCAATGGATAAATGTTCTTAGGTAAGGATTAACAAAAAAATAAAAATAAAATCAATAGTCACTGGTATGGCTCAGTGGATTAGGCATCGTTCCATTGACTGAGTGGCCCTGGTTCAATTCCCAGTCAGGGCCCATGCCTGGGTTGCCGGCTCCATTCCCAGTAGAGGGTGTGCAGGAGACAGTTGACTGATGTTTCTAGCTCCCCCGTCCTCTCTCTCTAAAAAATGAAAAACATATTTAAAAAATAAATTAAATAAATAACTATATCCTCAGGTGAATATTAAAAAAATAAAAATAAAATAAAAATCTCTTTGTGATTCTGCTGATTATTCATGGAAAAGGTGCCCTAACAAGTGATTAACAGAATTTTGAACCCCTTTTTACAAACATACACAACATAAAAAAAAAAAAAAATTAATGTAAAGTGATGAATGTCCACATAATTGCCAGAAAACTTTATACACACCCAGCAGTCTGTCCATCAAAAGCCAGTCAATGGACTTCAGTCAAGATGGCGGTGTAGATAAACATGGTATCGCCTCCTCCCACAACCACATCAAAATTACAACAAAACTACAGAACAACCATCATTCAGAACCACCTGAAATCAAGCTGAATGGAAGTCCTACAACTACGAAATTAAAGAAGAGGCCACATCGAGACTGGTAGGAGGGATGGAGGTGCAAACAGTCTGGTCCCACACCCACATGTGGAGGATAAAAATCAGGAGGGACACCTCGGCTGTGAAGGTCCTCCTTGAAGAATGAGAGGTCCCCGTCCCACACCAGGCGCCCAGCTTTTCCTGGGTTTCAGTGCCAGGAAGAGAAGTCCCCATCACTTCTGGCTGTAAAACCATCAGGAACTGAGGCTCAGGGAGCCCCAGGGAGTTCCTCTTAAAGGGCCCGCACATGGACTTACTCAGACTTGCTACCTCTAAGCTCCAGCATGAAGGGGAGGCGGTTTGAAAGGCACCAGATACATAGGGGAAGAACTGAGTTGTTTGGCATTGGGGCAAGGACTGGAGAGGCAGCTTTCTCCTGGACAGACATGCTAGTAGAGGCCATTGTTCCTTTGGTGAGCCCTTCCTCCACAGGGCAGGCAGATAGCCGCCATATCTGGGACTCCAAGCAACCTAGCTCACACAGCTTGCCCCACCTTGGTGATTCCCTGAGGCCCTGCCCGACCCAACTTTCAGGCCCACCCAAGTTGTTTCCAAAGGCTTTATCATAGGATTGGCCTGTTTGGGCTCCTGCTTTAGATTTTCCTAAAATCTCTCAAACAAGCAGCATCTGGCCTCAGCGAGCCCCATACCTCTCACTAAGTGGCCCCAGGTCTGGCACTAGAAGCAGCCAGCCTTGGTTCACAGCTTGGCGTTGCCTGAGCACCTCCAAGCCCAGCACAAGAAGCAGCCATCTGCAGATCACTTTGTAGCTCATGCTAGGTGGCACCGGGTAGAACACAGGCACTGGATGACCTTGCCCCAGAGCCAGCACACCAAGTGGACAGCTTCAGACCACTTTGAAGCACCAAAACCTAACAACTTCCACAAGTGACTCACTCAGGGAATGGACTCAGAGGGTACCAGAGCACTGCTGAAGTCAGCCTTGCTCTGTGTGGTGGGCGCCTGCAAAGCTGATCATCCAAGGTGATCAGAGGTCAATGGTTAGTGGGCACAGCCAGTCTTTGCAGCTGATCAGCCTGAGTAAAACCCTCTCATTGAGGTGCCAACAGCAATCAAGACTCAATTACAACAGAAATATATAAAGTCTACATGAGGAGTCCATCTCAAGGGCCCAGCTTGGTGATCAGGGAGGCTGTGCCATTGGATCCTACAGGACACCTACTACAACAGGCCACCCTAGGAAGCTAATAGACATAGCAATCTACATAATACATAGACACAAACACAAGAAGGCAGCCAAAATGAGGAGTCAAAGAAACATATCCCAAATGAAAGAACAGAACAAAACTCCAGGAAAAGAACAAAATGAAATGGAGATAATCAATCTAACACATGCAGAGTTCAAAACACTGCTTATAATAACACTCGAAGAACTCAATGAGGACCTCAAGAGCATAATAAAGGATCAGTCACTAAATGAAGGATGCACTAACTGAAATAAAGAATAATTTGCAGGAAATCAATAATAGAGTAGGTAAAGCCAAGAAGCAAACCACTGATTTGGAATATAAGGAAGCAAAAAACACCCAATCAGAACAGCAAAAAGAAAAAAGAATTTTAAAAAATGAGGATAATATAAGGAGCCTGTAGGACAGCTTCAAGGGTGCCAACATTTGCATCATGGGAGTGCCAGAAGGAGAAGACAGAAGGTAAAAAATCGAAAACCTATTTGAAACAATAATGACAGAAAACTTCCCTAACTTGGTGAAGGAAACAGACATACAAGTCCAGGAAGCACAGAGAGTCCCAAACAAGATGAACCCAAAGAGGTCCACACCAAGACACATCATCATCAAAATGCAAAAGGTTCAAGACAAAGACAGAATCTTAAAAGCAGCAAGAGAGCCCAGCCGGTGTGGCTCAGTGACTGAGCATCAACCCATGCACCAAGAGGTTGCCAGTTCGATTCCCGGTCAGGGCACATACCCAGGTTGTGGGCCAAATCTCCAGTAGGGGGCATGCAGGAGGTGGCCAATCGATGTTCTCTCTCATCAGTGTTTCTATCTATCTCTCCCTCTTCCTTCCTCTCTCCCTAAAAATCAAGAAAAAATAAAAAATAAACAAAAAGCTGCAAGAGAAAAGTAGTTCGTTACCTACAACAGAGCTCCCATAAGGCTATCAGCCGATTTCTCAAAAGAAACTTTGCAGGCCAGGAGGGAATGGCAAGAAATATTTGAAGTGATGAAAAGCAAGGACCTACAACCAAGATTACTCTATTCTGCAAAGCTATCATTTAGAATCGATGGCCATATTAAGAGTTTCTCAAACAAGAAAAAGCTAAAGGGGTTCATCACCACCAAACCAGTATTATATGAAATGTTGACCAGTCTTCCTGAAGAAGAATAAAAAAAATATGAACAATAAAATGGCAATAAATACATATCTATCAACAAGTGAATACAAACAAAATGAGCAAGCAGAACAGAAACAGACTCATAGATACAGAGAACTTTTTATTGCTTGCCAGATGGGAGGAGAATTGTGTGAAAAAGATGAAGGGATTAGGAAGTACAACTTGGTTATTAGACTGATGAACCTCAAAGGGAAGGGGGGAGGTGGGGCAGAAACAGAGAAACCAAAGAACTTATATGCATATATGTATAACCAATAGACACAGACAATAGTGTGGGGAAAACAGGAGGGGGGCAGGATTGGAGGAAGGAGTCAAGGGTGGGGGGGAAAGAGACATCTGCAATACATTCAACAATAAAAATAAGTTTAAATAATTTTAAAAAGCCAGTCAGTGGATCAAAACCTTATCTCTAACCCTATGGAATGCACACACAACACTGAGCAATGATATACAGTGAGGTCACAATTCTTAACATGGGAAAAAACAGAAACTGTCTTACCACGGAGTTTCTCTTGGATCCTATGTGCCTCGGCTAACCTTTCTTCTGCAGCCCGTCTTCCAAGACCAGCTTCCTTTCTAGCAACAGCCAGGTCATATTCCAAACTTTGTCGCAATGCTTCTCCTTTTTCAACCTCAGATCGTAGCTTGGCAATCTGGCTCTCATAGCTTGCCAGCTAAAAACAGATTTCTGATATCATGAACCAGTATTAAAATATGTCTCCAAGATTATGAGATCATTAACCCAAACATTTATATTTCTTAGAAAAACTTATTTCTATAATATTTATAAGACAAGAATTTATAAAATTCTACTTTCTGAAAGACTGGAAAAGAAACACTAGCATTACTCACCAAATGACACTAGTAACTTTCTTATTTTAAAGAATCCATGAGAGAGAAAAAATATTTTTTTAATTCTAATACAGTATGAACTTTGGGGGGAGGAGGGGTTATCCTCACCAGAGGACATCTTTACATTAGGAAGGAGAGAGGGAGGAAGAGAGAGAGAAACATCGATGTGAGAGAGACACATCGACTGGCCACCACCCACACAACCCCATGGGGCCAGGGACAAACCACCACCGAGTTACGTGCCCTTAGCGGGAACCAAACCCAGTACTCTCTGATTCATGGGCCGAGGCTCTCACCGCTGAGCCAAACCGGCCAGGGTTAATATGAACTTCTTATAAAAATAAAAGAAAATCACAAGTTTTAGTCAGATAATAGTCATACCTAAGAAATGGAAAAAATGCATGACACATAGTAAGCACTTAAACTTCATTCTCTCCTCTCTCCCTCCTGTTCCCGAAATAAAATCGAGAAGCAAAATGCATAGAAATATAGTTTGGTAAATACTGTCTATAGTATTTGTCTTGATTATGACTTTACTGACAGAGCACAAAATAATAAAAATGCCAACTTTGCAGGGGTCTTAATAAACTAATATCTAATTTTACCTACTATCTAGATAACTAGATATCTAATGTCTAGATTTAATTTACCTAATATACTTTCAAGAAATGTGATAGAACATAGGTCTGAAAATTAGAACTAGATGATTTATAAAGTCCTTTCCCACTCTAAAATGCTATGATCAAATCAATGATTCATTGAATAATATTAAACTCTTGCCCGGCTGGTGTGGCTCAGTGGATTGAGCGCTGTCCCGTGGACTGAGAGGTCCTGGTTCAATTCCTGGTCAGGGCACATGCCTGGCTTGTGTGCTCAATCCCCAGTGGGGGGCATGCTGGAAACAACCACACAATATTTCTCTCTCAGATCTATTTTCTATCTCTCTTCCTCTCTCTCTAAAAAAAAAAAAAAAAAAAATCAATTAAAACATATTTTTTAAAAATTTAGAATAAAAAAGATATGGTCTCAAGATGGGTTTCTGGTATTGGGTGGTGAATTTATATGAGCCTAATACAATGAAGAGTTCTACCTGGAAATAGAATACTAGGAATCCATGACATATAGTCGGATCACAATTTTTTGTTGTTGTTTTTTTTGGTTAATCCTAACCTAAGGATATTTTTTCCATTGACTTTTAGAGAGAGCAGAAGTGGAAGGGCGGGAGGGAGGAGGAAAGAGAGACAGAAACATCAGTGTGAGAGAGACACATCAATTAGTTGCCTCCCGCATGCACCCTGACTGGAGCCAGGGATTAAACCTGCAACTCAGGTACATGTCCTTGACCAGGAATCGAACACAGGATCCTTCAGTGCAAGAGCCTAATTCTTACCAATGAGAAACACTGTCCAAGGTGGGATTAAAATTTTTTTAATTATCATGTACAGTTGTTTAGAATAAAGACAAGCCTGTGCGAAATGAAGTAGTAACTACATATGATCAGTAAGGCAGTATAGTTTACTAGAAGACCTGTAGAAAGGTTATATTAGAGAATTTATAAAAACAAAATGATAATCTCAGGGTTTTAGAATCTCAGCTCAAGATGGTCAGGAAACCAGAGAATTTCTATGTTGACTTTAAAGAATCTCTTGCCTGGCCAGTGTGGCTCAGTGGTTGAGCGTCGACCCATGCACCAAGAGGTCATCAGTTCGATTCCTGGTCAGGACACATGCCCAGGTTGTGGGCCAAATACCCAGTGAGGGGCATGCAAGAGGTGGCCAACCTATGTTCTCTCTCATCAGTGTTTTTATCTCTATCTCCCTCTCCCTTCCTCTCTCTCTAAAATCATTAAATAAAAATAAAAATAAAAATAAAGAATCTCTTATTTCTCATAGGTCCAGAGCAGACAAGGCTAAGGACTAGACAGAAAATCTAATTATGGGGAATGCAGAATTATAATACAAGTTGAACAAAGAGCCTCAACAAGTTTCTAATGTTAAGATGCTAAGTATCAACTGGGAATTAAGTAAGAAGGAAGGAGATGGGTGAGGGCTTGTAGAACTGCATACACCTAAAAACTGTAAACTCCCAAATGCCCCTCTGAACATCCCTTGCCAACAAAAGCAGCCTCTCCTCCCTGAGGTAACTAGCCTTCCCTCGCTTAAAGATTTAGTAATGACCACACCTGAAGCAGTTGTCTTGCAAGTCCCACCTCCACCATTTTTTGTGACCACAGATAGGCTCAGAACTTACTTTTGTCACAGGAAGAGAAAAGTCAGGTCCAGAAGAAAACAGCTTATACAGCAAAAGAATTGCAAGATCTTGCTATACTTGTATTAGCAGGACCCTCCAGAACATATATAGGATTGATTCGGATTTTTTTTTTTTTTATCCTCACCTGAAGACATTTTTCCATTTCTTGTTCAGATAGAGTGGGAAGGAAAGAGAGAGAGAGAAACATCGATGTGAAAGGGACACATCGAGTGGTTACCACCCACATGACCCAACCAGGGCCGGGGACAAACTGCAACCGAGGTACGTGCCCTTAGCGGGAACAGAACCTGGGTCTCTCTGGACCGCAGGCCGACACTCCAACCACTGAGCCAAACCAGCCAAGGCGGACTGATTTGGATTTAACTAGCTAGCTCTAACAGTTTGCTTGGATGAATGACTGTAAATTGATTTTACCAATGGCCTACAATCCTTTAATAAGGTCAAAATACCAATACTTTCCTGACATAATATGGAGACTTAAGGAGATGGGAGTAGTTTTATTATGGGCAAACCTTTCAACTACTACATCCTCTTGAAAGACCCAAAAACATTTGTTTCATAATTAAAATGCTAGCAACTTGCCCTGGCAGGTGGGGCTCCACCGCTGGAGCATCTGCCTATGGACCAGAGTCTCGGGTGTGAGTCTGATCAAGGGAACCTACTTCAGTTGCAGTTCAGTTCCTGGCCCTGGTCAGGGTCGTGCAGGAGGCACCAATCAATCTCTCTCTCTCTCTCTCTCTCTCTCTCTCTCTCTCTCTCTCTCTCTCTCCCCTCCCCCTGCCTCTCTCCTTCCCTCCCTCCCTCCCTCCTTCCTCCCCTCCCACTCTATCTGAAGATAACTGGAAAAATATCCTTGGGTGAGGACTTAAATAAAATGCGATAGCTACACTGGAGTGAACAGCACAAGCATCCTTAGAAAGCTCTAATGGCTAACCTTTATGTGCCAGAGTTATGGGATGGTGAAGATAATGTGGGATATGCCACCACTGAGATGAACACCCCAACTTCAATTGGAATTATGGACTTTCAGAGTGGCAAAGGCCAAGTGGTAACAATTAACCACTAGATAATAAGTGCTGAAGAGCATAAGGTGTAGACTGCCAACCATTTGCCCATTTGATCTCACATCCATTCCCTAACCCCTTCCTTTGCTCTACTCTATTTTATCATAGGACTGTAATTCCCATGCTCCCGTGCCAAATGTGTCTATTTCTGGCAGTATCTCTGTCAGTAGCTGCATCTCTTTTTAAGTTCCAGGTCCCCATCCCTTCCCTCCAACATTCCATCACTGGCTCAACAGCCCCTACACCAGGGCTCTACCTCATACAAGACAGCCCCAACGTCTGGACTCTGGTAACATCATCTCCTCCCACTGGGCCTCTGCCCTAGAGACAGTGGTAGCTTCCTGCTGTTAGTAATCTTTGGGTGGCCTCCTCATTCCCTGTTTGCATTCCTAGGTCTTCCATTACCACAACCAATTTCCTCTATTAATGCCCTTCTTTTTACCTGATTGGACCTTATTTGATTTCAAGAACTATCCACATAGCTGATAAGTATATCCTCTGCTCTTGAGGTTGTTTTCTAACTTAAGTTTCAAAACATGCAACAAAGCATACTATACCAGCAAAATAATATCTCCCTCCTTTTAAAAACATATCTGCATCTTTTAAGTCTTTATGCTCAACCACTATCTTAGAACCACCTCTCTGTCATCCTCCATATCTTCTTTCATGACCTCTACAGTATTTTTCACCATTTTTGTCCCACAACCCTTTTTGGCATTCTGGCAAAGCCTTCTAGAATAAGTAATTAAATGCATTAAGAAAATATGTGAGGGTAACAAAAAAACTCAAAATATAAAAACAAATACATGACAGCCCGGCCGGTATAGCTCAGTGGTTGAGCGCTGACCCATGCACCAAGAGGTCACCAGTTCAATTCCCAATCAGGACACATGCCCAGGTTGTGGGCCAAATCCCAGCAGGGGCATGCAGGAGGCGGCCAATCGATGTTCTCTCTCATCCATGTTTCTCTCTCTCTCTCTCTCTCTCTCTCTCCCTTTCTCTCTAAAATCAATAAAGAAAAAAAAATTAAAAACAAATATATGACATAAAAACAAATTTGTGATACTATCATCTATGTACTTCCTTAATAACATTAAATAACAACCTCTACTCTTAGGTCTAATAACCACTGTAATTTTTTTTTATGTTTTTTCTTTATTGATTTTAGAGAAAGAGGAAGAGAGAGGAGAGAGAGATAGAAACATCAATGAGAAAGAAAACCTCCTGTGTGCCCCACACTGGGGATCTGGCCCACAATCTGGGCATGTGCCCTGACCAGGAATTTAACCGGGGACCTCTCAGTCCATGGGACAATACTCAATCCACTGAGCCACACCAGCCGGGCCTACTGTAATTTCAAAATAGCGACAAGTATAAACAATATTTCAAAATGTTTGCAATAACTGAATTGTGGTATCTATGATTTCTATTGATGATAAATTCAAAACTACTGCTAACAACTACTACAACTTGTTGTTCAAAGGAGG